GCTTTTGGATACTTCGAGGTAGAGAAGCAGTTCGACGTCATCAGTCCAAATGCCCAGACTGCAGGCGGTGGAAGGCCAAGCCTACTATTCCCCAAATGGCTGACTTACCAGCTGCCCGCCTCCGCCTTTTTAAACCTGTTTTCTACTCCACAGGGACAGACTGTTTTGGACCATTCCATGTTAAAATCGGACGGCGCACCGAGAAAAGATGGGGCATCATCTTTAAGTGTTTGACTACTAGAGCTGTTCATCTTGACATTCTCACCCACCTCGATGTTGACTCCTTCCTTATGGCCTTAAGGAGATTTATAGCCCGTCGAGGTACACCTATGGAAATTCTCTCAGATCAGGGGACCAATTTCCGTGGGGCAGAACGAGAACTACAAAGGGCCCTGGCAGAGATGTCCCCCAACCTGCAGCGAATCCTTGCCAAGCAAAGGATTACTTTCAAGTTTAACCCCCCTGGTGCCCCTCACTTTGGCGGCGTGTGGGAAAGAGAAATACGCTCAGTTAAACAAGCTTTGTACGTCACAGTTGGGGCTCAACCATTGCCAGAAGAAGTACTCAGGACAGTTCTGGTTGAGGTGGAGGGTATTTTGAACTCAAAGCCCTTAGGYTATGTATCCTCCAGCATTGCTGATCCTGACCCTGTGACACCAAATCATCTGTTGATGGGGCGGCCTGATGGGTCATTGCCACAGGTTGTGTATCCAGCAAATGAACTCCCTAGCAAACGTCGCTGGCGCCATTCACAGGTTTTGGCAAACCATTTCTGGTCTAGATTTATCAGGGAATACCTTCCCAATTTGCMAGTCAGACAAAAATGGCAGACTACTCAGGCTGACCTGGTTGAGGATACTGTAGTCATGCTTGTGGACCCCCAACTGCCCAGAGCACTCTGGCCTATTGGACGAGTGACCAAGGTGCATCCAAGTGCTGACGGCCGCATCAGATCTGCGGATGTTCAAGTGAAGGACAGAGTCTACACCCGACCGGTGGCGAGAATGATTGTTCTTCCTGCGGTACCAGAGGAGAACAGCCACACTTCATCATCAGAGACTTGAACGGTTGCCTTTCTTTGGAACAAATGTACTTTGTACATTTGGGGGCGGCTGTTAGAAAGGCTCAGGCTTGTTGCTGAACCTTAGCATTTCACAAGGTTAAAATGTGGATCACAGTTTGTTGTTGATTTGAATCTAGATAGAGGGTGCCACCTAGTGGTGATATTGGCAGCACTATAAAAGGCTGCAGAGGAACGTTTTCTCAGGAAGTGGATGCATGCAGCTGGTGCTGACTGTTCCTTTTGTAGTCGATGTGCGTAAATGACTCACTGTAARTAATTCATTATTTGTTCACTGTATTAGATTAGTTTATCTCATGTTGTGTGGAAATCTACTTATCAGACTGTTGTTATTAGCAGCATGCTGCACTTTGCTAGCTTTAGCTCATGACCATGTGCTGTATAATTAGTGAAGTGTTCGGTTCTTTACTGTCGTGTTCACATGCTTTTATTAGTAATCATTTTTTCCTTTGATATGCCTGTCTAACATGACTTCTAAGTTGTTTACTTGAGTAAATATCTTCGAATATGTGGTTTAATAGTAAGTAAGCAARTGAAGTCAGTTTATGGCCAGCAGGTGTCACTGCTGCAACTTGTATCTGTTCGGTATTTCTTAGGTGAATTAATATGGGCTTATTTTCTGTTGTGATTTAGACCACACACAACTCCAGGTCGCCAAAGTCCTCCAGTTTCTGTATGGCTGTTCAACTGCTCTATCTGCTCAATAAAGATTGAAGGAAATTCCATCTCCCGTTTATGTCCTGATCGACACCCAGTGGCGAGTGCAATATATCCACCAGCTTTGTATTAATCTGTGGATCCTCATCTACAAAGACCATCCATCATTAAACAGAGGTGGAGGCCTCCGTTTTCAGTTGTCCCCCTCCTACAGCG